AACTCCATGGGATACAGCAAAAGCGTTCCTGAGAGGAAAACTCATAGCCTTAAATGCCCACATTGAAAAGACAGAAAGATCGCAAATTGACAATCTTATGAATTGTCTCAAGGAACTGGAAAAGGAAGAACTAACCAATCCTAAACCCAGCAGAAATAACCAAAATGAGAACAGAACTAAATGGGATATGGACAGAAGAAAGCCACCAAACTCAGGAGGGGCCCACAGGGTTTGCTGTAAGACAATGACTTCTTGATGACCAGGGTAGCCTGGGGCAGAGCCATGAACCCAGCTAAGCAGATAAGCATCAGGGCAGGGCATGTGTGAGAGCACCAAGCTGGCTGTGACCGCAGGGAGGGGGGCCTGGTCAACGTGATGTCAGGCACATCACAGTGTGAAGTTACACATTTCTCTGTGATTACTTATTGAGTGTGCACAGCATCTACAAAAGAGCTGAATGGCTCTTTCTCTAGAGTGATGGGCTGTCTCCCCAGTAGTAACTTCCTAGTCCTGCCCTTGGGGTGGGAAAGCTTGTGTAAGCTGGTTTCTTCCCCCTTCAATGTTTCCGCTGCAGCTGACCAGGTTCGCGGGCAGCGTGCCATGGGGTCCTGCTCAGAGCACCACCTGCCTTGCTGGGCCTCCAGTCTCCTGGGGTTCATCAGCCTCCTCCTCAGTGAGTAGCCCGGGGTCCCTGGGAAGGCAGAACAATTGTGTGGAGCTGGGATAGCTGGGCCGCGACCCCTGGGAGGGCTGTTTCGGTTCTGTTGTTTTTGGGGAACAGAAAGAGAAAGCCACTCTGTTATAATTTGCAAATGCAGCATATTAGGTTAGAGCCCATGGTAAACAGAAAGATTGAAATGGCCTTTTGGTGGTGAGCAGGCTGGGAGCCCTGAGCTTGGGCATCCTTGGCTACATTAAGGGGACCTTAACCCAAGAGGTGAGGCCATTTCTGCTGCATTAGCTGGGAAGCCCAGAGAGCCTGGAACAGCCTGAACAAGGGTTGCAGAGGGATAAAATAGCTGCCTTCTGGGGGTAAAGGGTTGCAATAGTGTACTGCTGGCCAGGAACTCAGCGGTGTGCTGACAGTCTCTGGGCTGGAAGTCAGCGGTGTCCTGACAGTCTCTGCACTGTCCTGTGGAGGAGGGGGCAGAACTAGAACCCCAGTGTCTGAGCTGCACTGCAAGACGCTCCTCCGGTCTGGGCTGCTTGAGCTGCACTGAAAAGGAGAGTGGCGGTGCACTCCTCTGCTTGGGGCTCAGCTCCAGGCAGATCATCTCAGAGGAGAGGCCCTTGGAAGTCTCAGGTTTATCTTAAAAGTGCTTGTGTAATTTGCATTAGTTTCCATTTGAAGATGTTAGAAAGGATTTGCCTTCTCAGGTAAAACGAATCCAATAGACTGTGCACCCTTTCTCATGCCTGTGGGTGGCCTTTCCCTCCACCCTGAAATGCTGCTCAGCCTCTGGAGACCTGGGATGAAACCAAGTCTGTTGCAGCAGCGTTCTGGGGAAAAACCCTGCGGGGGGGGGGAAAAAAGAGGAGGCGCCCAACAATCGGGAGTGACTGAAGAAACTGAGAATATGTGTACCATGGAGTATTATGGAGGCCTAAAAATGCAAATGTTCCAGTTGTCTGGGAAGAATTTTCCATTTTGATGAAGTAAAATGTGTGAATCCCCATCAGCAAGATTCAGGAAACTAAATACAATGAAATCTTCGTTTTATATAAAAAAAGCAGCCTCCAAAATTAAAGGGTGTCTATGCACCCGCATGTTTATAAGAACATGCTAAAGATGTGGAAGAACCAGAAGGCTGCCTCCTAACCGTGTCCTCACATGACCTTTTCTCAGTGCATGTGCATGGAGAGGGCTTGCTTGCTTGCTCTTTGGTGATGCTTCTTATAAGGACACTAATGCTATTGGATTGGGCCCCACCCTTATGACCTCACTTACCCTTCCTTCATTAGCGTCCTCATCTGCAAGTACAGCCACACTGGGTTTAAACCTTCAACGTGTGAATTTGGGGGGAACACAAATGTTCAGTCCTCAACAAGGGGAAGCCTTCCTCCCCCTTCCTAGCTTCTGGTGTTTGCTGGCTGTCTGTGGTGTTCCCTGTCTTGCAGCTGCGTCGGTCCAATCCTCATCTTCACATTTATCCTCCCTGTGTGTCTTCCCATCGGCTTCCCACTGTGCATGTCGGTGTTTGTGTGTAAGTTTCCCCTTTTCATAAGGATGCTGTGATATTGGAGTAGAGC